ACAGTCATTGGGTAAACAATGATACTAACATGTGACATCACATACAATTACTATGAAGGAGCAAGTACTGACCATCATGCCACACCCTCTACATCTTACATCATACATCAATAGGGAAGGAATGGACAACAGATAATCATGTGACACATTTTTATTATTTAAATTAATGTACACATGGTAAGGGAGGAAGCAGTAGCTGATGACTCAAGCTGTTTTATAAAATTTACTAACAATACAGTACTACATACAGTATAATAACATAAGTTCAATAAACTAATAAATACATTACTTGAGTGTACTCTCAGTATAGTGGCAGTGTCACCAGAAGCGCAATAAAGAGCAGTCTTACCATCCTATACAAGGTAAACATTGATTAACATGATAGTACAATGTTATAACAATCAAACTAAAAACCAACTTTAATTGTTGGTCTGTCTTCAATACTCCATAGTATTGAGTATGTTAGAGACAGTGGAGGTACATTTAGTGTACAAGTATACATTTTACTGATATAAATAATTACATGTACAATACTACTAGTCTACACGTACATGTACATGTACATATATATTTACACTGTTGCAGTATCAATAAAACGTTCTTGGTTATAGTCATAAACACAGTTACTATACATGTAGATTGAGAAACCTTCATGACTGGGATAATAATTTTGAAGTGCTTAAATTTTGATGCTTGATCAATTTATTGATTTAAGTTGATGTCAATACAGACACTGACCACAAGGGACCATAGTATCCTAGTGGGAGGTGTCTGTAAATCAGATACTGCCCCAGTAGGTAAGTGATATAATTACATCAATTTGAGTGGGTGGATCACATTATATATTCATGCACAGTCATAGATATTAGAGTATTATTATCTATTATTACTCTATTATCTATGTGCACAGTATAACTACAATGTACATTCTAAGTATGTCCTCCATACCAAAGAAAATGTCAATGCCCACTGGCCTCTAGTAAGTCCATCTGACATTATTATACTATTATACATGTACAAGTTGTAGTAATTGTTAAAACTAATCATTTAATCTTATGTTTATGTGATTACATATTTGTGGTTTGTCAAATAGACTTCCTGTATGAATGTTTATGTAAAGAATTGTCTCTGGCCAGTCTTAGTCAGATTTTTATAATAGCACTTTTGGGAACCTCCATTAGCTTAGAAGAGAAACACAACACATGTAACGTTATAAAGTATTACCATGTAGAAATGTAATTGTTCTGTAACTTTAAATTTTGAAAAACGCTACACAAAGCAAATGTTTCATATAAATTTTTAACAATTTACAACAATTTCTTTCAATACTTTATTCAAAATTATTGAGAATTTCTATTTTTTTAGTTTTCAAAATTTCAAAAAATTAAAAATCAAAAGGTCATTACCATCAAAAATTCAAAATTTTTCTGTACTCAAAATTTATGAGAATCAGCACCCAAAAATAAATTTTAAAATTTCAATTTTTAAAAATATTTCTTACTAAATTTTTAATATTACATTTTAAAAAATTTCAGTCCACAAAATTTTTCGCTTTACTAAAATAAAATATAATTGACGTAAAATAATTATTTTAATAAAAATGCTTTCCATAAAGTGATACAGTAGAGTACATTAAGCTATACATGTACATGTACACACACTGTATGAGATATACAGCACCTGCGGTTACTTTGATCCACCCACTCAAAAGGATATACATGTACAATCACTATTGGAGTATAATTAATGATTATACTTACATTAGTAGAGGCAGTGACATCTGCTCCTTTTTCAAGGAGCATTGTCACTACCTGTGTGTCACCATTACCAGCTGCTACTATGAGAGGAGTATATCCCAACTATGAAAAGAAGACAGGATAATACAGACACTAACACTACACAGTCAAGTGTCATATCATGTT